GTTGCAGGGTTGGGGCTATGGCAGAGACCAAAACTTAGACAAGTCCTTTGCTTTCAGAGAGCATGTATTCTAAGAAAACTGAGATGGTAATAAAGATGGAGCAGCTAGCATTTCTCATTTGGTCATAAAATCTTTTTATAAGTAGCATCTCACAGACTCCATTTTTTGTCAAGCACACATTGGTAAATAGGTTTTTAGAATATTGCCAATTATTCCAAAGACATTCCTTAATGTTGTTTAAAGCAGCAAGGAATCATAAAACTGGAGATGTTTTTAATTCAGGACATTAGAACTGCCTTATGACGCTGAGAAACCAAGTTAAGTAAGTTTGAACATTTAAATGGAGGCCTTTTTCACTTTTGTTCTGCTAGAACAGTGTACTTGGATTTCCAGGTGATACTGAGATCATTGATATGCAGCAAGTGTCCATCAGAATTTTAAAATATCACAATGAGAGTTCAATTATGTTTGTTTACTGGAACTCTCTTCATCTCTAGGGTTGTTTATAAAATAGTTTTCCTAAAATACGGTTAGAGCAGACTAGCCTGATCAGTATTAAGATAAATTTTCTTTCAAAACAGTGTTTAATAAAAATCACATATTATGTTTTATAGCATCTTCATCAGGATAGCATGCTAGCATTGCTTTTTATTTTATGGAAGATGGAGATTCAGAAAGAGTTGCCAATTTAAATCTAACTTCATTAGCTAATTAAATGTGTTGAAAAAAAGAGCTCAGAATTGTTTTCTCCGTCACCCTCCAGCTTAACATTTTGCATAACTGAGCTAATAATAAAAAGGAAGCCTGATTTAAATGTTTTCCCACATTTATTGAGAATTTTCTAATGCAAGCTAATACATTTTTGTAAATTGCTATATATTGTTGCAAAGACATTTAGCACCTTCTATTTCTTGATAGAACTTTCTAGTTTAGCCAAAGAACATATATAGGCGTAACCCATAGATACAGATAACAGTGTGGTAATGGCCAGAGGGTGAGAACTGGGTGAAGAATAAGAAAGTGGGGGGAACATCTGTAAGAATATCAACAATTAAAATAAAGAAAAAAAGTCTTTTAATTTAGAGGTCTGTACTTTTCTGGAAAAATAGTCAATATGTAGCTAGAAACCAGTGACTGTCTTTACACATCTCATCCTTTAGGTGTGAGATTACCTTGGCTCTGAGTCTTTCTAGGTCATGTCTGTGGTTAAAGTAGTTGATTTTCTTCGTGGAATCCACAGCTGAGATGATTATACATTCACTTTCCAGGAGTTTTCTTTCATCTTTGATATCAAAGCATAAAATACCTCTGAGCAGCTAGACCCTGAAAGCACACACAGAGTTTCCCATTGACAGGGCCCGCACTGAGTTACAGGCGGCTAAATCGCTCCTGGTGAATCTTCCATTGTGCACTGAGTTTCCTGCTACCTTTAGAACAGGTCTAGGCAGAGCCTCTGGAAGTTTCAGACTAGTGCTTTGATTGAAAAGTTTTTATCATCCTTCAGGGTTGAGTGGGCATTCTAAGCTCTGTAGGTAACTTGAAGAAAACATGAAAAAAATGTGAACAAAAAGAATGATATCTAATGAGTACAGGTCCCTTAATAAGGTATAGTATTAATTGACTATTGTAAGTGGCTGAATACAAAAACTCAGATGAACCATTCTAAATATTACATATCTGGAGCTCCAGTGGCGCAATCGGTTAGCGCGCGGTACTTATAAATATTACATATCTCCAACTGAAATATTACCGTTTGCATATTTATAGTATTAAGTTTAGAGTAATATATAAGTCAAGTCAGTTAGTATACCTGTCCCTTATTCATGTGAAAAACAGAAGAGGAAGAGAAAGTAGAAAAATTAGAGGAGGGGATGAAGAGGGGTGAGGAGGCAAAAAAGAAGAGAGAAAAAATATTTATTGAGTGTTTACTGTGTTCTAGGCACCATTCTAAATACTGTGCATATATACCTCACTTAATTTATCTAATACCTCTATGGGTTGGTCCTGTGTTTCATTTCCATTTTATAACTGAGGAAATGCAGGCACAGAACGGGTGCGTTACCTGGCTGGTGTGTAGCAGAGCTGGGATGTGAGTCTATTTAACCTTGGCGCACATTTCAAGTCCTTAACAACCTCACAGTATTGCTGGTCCCTTATAATTCAGGTCTCTTACAATAAATTTCACATGGGAAATGTCAGTATAAGGTGTTGTATGAGCACCTATTATATTCTGTGTCCTTTTTGGTAACAACAGATTATACTTATAAGTGCCTGAAAATGAAATTTCCTTTTCACATGTAAGTATGCATTCGTTTCCACTTTATCCTTTCTGTGAAAATC